TCCGGGATGGGGTGCCCTCTAGCGAAGCTCACGGGCACTCCAGCTAGAGATCATGACAATATTTGTATAATTTAACCATTTAATCAATATCTTAGCATGCGTTAATTTTGTGTCGCTATATGTTTGCCTCACTAAGGTTAAATTATGTCTTTGTTTGGCCTGCGCTCTGGAAGTGATCTGTTAATTCTGCAGAACTTTCATTAAAACTGAAACTAAACTATATAAAAACTAAATAAAAATGTGTTCACAAAATAAAAACTAAACTAAAACTAACAAAAATATGAATGAAACTAATAAAAACGAAACTGAATTTTATAGCAAATTTGAAAACGATATTAAAATAAAACGAATTTAAAAATTCAAAACTATAATAACCTTGGCCAACAGTGCCCCCTACAGATTAAAACTCCTTGCCAAATGGGCGTTAGGACCTGGGGGAGGCTGCCGCTGCTGCCACTGCACTTTCTATTACTGTTGACTCTTATCACACACCAAACGTGTCATTCTGTACATGCATTCTCAGATTAAATGCAGTGATCCAAAACAGTCAATCTAATCATCAGTTCAATAATTCAGACAAAACTTTGCTTCAAGAATGAGCCACACTGCTGATGTGATCTAATCACTAGCACACCCTGAGCACATGTGAGTTAACGTATTCCTCTTATCGGCAAGACATATTAGCATTATTTTTTATATTGGGCCGATGCCGATATTTACATTTAAAGCCATTATCGGCCGATTCCGATATCAGTCCGATAATATCGTGCATCCCTAGATGTTATTGTTTTTGTTAATGAAAATAAATTTACATCCGCATCCCAGCTCAAGTTACTACTTCTGTCAACTCAACCACTGTCAAATGTTAAACTCCAAGAGACAAAACATGAAATATTATCAGTTAGTATTATTAATAAGTATTACTTATTTCAGTGCTACCAAATAAAGTGCTAGAGGTATGTATAGCTTGGCACAAGTGCCGCTGCACTCAAATGTTAGTCTGGAGCCCTGTATACGCATGTATAGAGATGTAACCGTATGAAAATTTATTATCACGATTAAAGTGACCTAAATTATAATGGTTATCAGTGTTATCACGGTATTGTTAAAATGTGCTGGATATGTTAAAAAAGTACAGTACATAACGATGTCCGGATTTTAAATGATAACATGACTGACAACAGTTTATCTAATAGCATGTACGAAATGTTCAGTTAAAGTTTTGAAAAGTTTCATAAAATGGTAAACTTCACATTTCAGCCTTTAAATAAAGAAAAGGGTTAAGTCAAAATGATAATTGATTAATAAATGATCATATGTATTTTATCTGCTACGTAAATAATTCTAGATACCTTATCCGAAATCCACTCTCTGACAGCAGGTGGTGCTGTTGGAACAGCAGAATTAGAGCCGTTTCCCGTAACCTCCGTGGACAAAGCAGCATTGCGATAAGAACACTTCTTTTATTAGGTATTACATGGAGTGAAGATGAAAACAAAATGCCATCAAATCTTTTCTGAAGACAGTCAGAACCTTCAGAGTTGCATTCATATAATTAATTCATTTGTATATTCATTTGTATAATTCCCTTAGCACATTTAAAACCTCCCTGCTCTTCCACCATGTTTTCACACAAAACGAAACTACTCTGCATACTGTGCGCACAAGACACTGTTACTTAAAACTTTACTTTATGCTGGACAGTATTTATTTATCCTCAGTTGTTCAAATCACGGTAATTGAATACGGTTTTAATAATTAAAATATGAAACGTATTACTAACTAGGGTTGTGACAGTGAGGAAATTTTCCCACCGGTTAATCGGCGTGTGTCAACACCGGTAATACTGGTATCACCGTTGGGGGGGGGTGGGGGGGTTTGTGGGCTTGTAAAAGTGCCGTGCGCATTTTACTTTCACTTTCAAATTAGCAGCAACTGAATTGCTGCAATTCGGCGTTAAGCAATTGTTCGTTTGAGTTTTCCCTTTTTTCCTCGGATTTCTTGGCTTTCAAATAGCTTGAAAAAGCGCCGTGCGTGTTTTACTTTCACTTTCAAATTAGCGGCAATTCAGCATTGATTCAATTCAAGCAGCAATCACGTCAAACTCATAGAACTTTTATTAACAAAATGAATAAAAATACACCATATATGCCTAATAAAATAACAAAAAAATCAGCAAACTGTGAAATAAAACTGTAAACAAAAACCAAATAAATAAGAAATGAATGTTTAAAAAAACGTCCAGTCAATAGGCTTTTCAAAATCTAAAATATTGCCAAACAGGCGCCTTTGCATTTCCTTTCTAAACAATCTTCTGCCATCGTCTAGTCTTTCTCACCTCACTCTTGTCAGTCAGCTCGACTCACTCTCCTCACGTGATAAATAAAATCTGACTCCTGCTCCGTGGTGCACTGTCGTTCGCACACGGTTCGGCACGCTGCATTGAGCGTTTAGTTTTTAAAAGTGTCTGTCCTCTAACTGAACTAGGCTAAATGATTTTTGTTACTATAAAAAAATCAAAACGACGGTGGGGGGTGGTGGGTAGGCAAATGATAACCGAACACCGGTATAACCGAAAACACCGTCTATCGCAGCAAGCCTAATACTAACCATGGGGAATTTTATCATGATTTATCGTCAAACTGGTAATCGTTCCATCCCTACGTGTGTATATCCTGTGTTTCAGGATCATTACGTATAGAGCCGAGCTTGGGCCTCTTTGTGACTGCTAATGTGTTTTCTTCAAACCATTTGTTGTCCATAGTAAAGAGTGTCATTTGAGGATAAGGTCAGCACTCCATCCTGCTTTTTCTCGCTCGTTTTCCTTACTCATACATACTTCATACATGCACACAATCAAGTCCGCTTTTGTTTGCAGTCACACATTATTTATCCAGCATGAAACTGTCGCTTGCTTGCTGTAATCATATTTTAAGAGTGTCCTCAGCGTACAGCCTGACCTCTTTCTCTAGAAGCTTGTTATTTACAAAAGACAAACTCAGGTCTCAAAAGACACTCGGCGCAGCTCGGGGAGGGTGAGAATGCCGTAACTTGAGACATTTTTTGTGCGTGGCTCGGTAAAAATTGGACCAGACTGAGCTTGAATAGTTTGAACCAGGAAAGGTCGTACAGGGTGACGATCTTTGTGTCTGTTGTACGACATATCCGGCCTGGCACCCTTCGTCTTATTTTGTTGTGGGAAACAATAATTGGAAACTTGCTTTGTCTTTTCAGGGCGTACTCCCTTGTCGACTCCAGCCAGGTGTCAACCTTCCTCATCTCCATCCTCCTCATCGTTTATGGCAGCTTCAGGTGAGCTCTCATCTCTTTCGCCGCAGATCTGGAACCAGTGCGGTCACAAAATCTTGTAATTGTTGATCACGTGCATGCTTTACAGACGTTATCATGTGGTATTGTTATTGTTTTGAGCATTGGTGAATTGAAAGTCATATTGTCGCTAAATATTTTGAGTTATCTAGCTGGCTGGTGTATAAGCCTTGTTAAGAATGGCTTGTAATTGTAAACTAATCAGTAATGTTTAGTTTCCAAATTTATGTAGTTTCCAAGTTTATAAATTTATAGCAGTCATGGAGTGATGTTAGTTGTATAATTTACATATTATTAATGAAAATGAAAATAAAACTTACTTATAATGAAAAATATAAATATATTTAAATGGACATATCTATTCTCTTCTCTGTAAGAAAGTATAAGCAAGGATGCATTCAGTTGATCAAATGTGACAGTAAAGACATTTATAATGGTACAAAAGATTTCATTTTCCAAAAAATGCTTCAACATAAGTAATAATAATAATAATAAGTGTTTCTTGATCAGCAGAATGATTTCTGAAGGATCATGTGACACTGAAGTTGGAATAATGTTTTTTTTTTTATATATTAGAATGCAAAGTTATTTTAAATATTCAATGTCATATTACAATATTCACTGTATTTTGGTCAGCATAAGATACATCTTTCAAAAACATTAAAAAATCTTTCTAATAAATTTACTTTTTCTTGAAGAAAAAATTTAACATTTTTCATTTAGTTTTTATTCTGGTGCTTAAAGTGAGATAAAAATGAAAATTTTAATATTGTTTTATGTGATGTATCTAATGAAAATGTTGGCATGATGGTTAAAAAAAAGGTACTGGTCAGCAGAAAAACATCTTTACTCTTGAGCTCTGGGCCTTTACACACATATGTATTGAATGAAACAGTGGGCATTGTAGTTTTTCTAGATGATATATTTAATTTGATGTGACTGAAAATTAATCTTTGAAGTAGAGAAGTGTAATTTGCAGTGTGTCATATATTTTATGAATTTTCTAGTTGATTGTTTAGCTAATGAAGCATTTGTCTTTCCAATTTTGAAGTGGACAAAACTGATATTCATGGGCTTTGAAAGATAGATGCGGCTAAAACATTACAACATATTAAAAAAACTGTACTTTTGTCCTTCACAATGTTTCATTCGCTTCAAATTAAATATGCTGTCTGTGACTGTTGTCAAAACCAATGATACCGAGCATAAAACTCATGTAACTCTGCTGTTGGTTCACTCCAAGGGCAGAGAAATTGAGCTTTGTGGGTAAACCGTGTCTGTCTGCACAGGTCATTAAACATGGACTGCGAGAACCAGGAGAAGGACAAGGATGGAAACCCCACCAACACTGGCTCCTTCAACAATGCCAACTCTAACAACAGTGAGTCCTCAACTAAGCAATTAAAAACAGCTATAATTACTTCTGCTTCATTTATCACACTAGAAACGGAAGGTGAAGTGCATTATGGAATGCTGACAGTGTGTTAGTATGCTCTTCTGAAGAGAACCTGAATCATCTCATGCCTTTGCACAGGTATTCAGACCATAGACTCCACACAGGCGCTGTTCTTGCCCATCGGAGCCTCCGTGTCTCTGCTCGTCATGTTTTTTTTCTTCGACTCCGTTCAGGTGGTGTTCACCATATGCACTGCAGGTACGTGCCGCATGCAAACACACCAGTGACCTTCCACCGCTCCTTTCTCACACACTGACCTAGTTCATACGCTGTCACAGTCACTGCGCTGTGATACGCGTGAGTAATATTTACGTAATTCTTTGTGTTTGTTTTATCCTGTCTTCACAGTTCTAGCTACCATCGCGTTTGCATTCCTCTTGCTGCCAATGTGCCAGTATCTGACCAAACCCTGCTCCCCACAGAACAAGTATGAAATGTTTACTAACTCATCAGAGCGGTTTGCAGGTTAACTGCAGTTACCTCAGTTCATATGTCAACAAACCGTGTCTCATTGGAATTCAAATTATTCAGATATAAATCTTATTTGACATTCACTCAGGAAAAGTTAATTGTCTCCCTCAGTAGCATGTGTATATGATTTCTAATAATAAATAGCTGATGCCAACTACTTATTAATAATAGTAATAAAAAATAATCATTTAAAATAATTGTAAAAATTTTACATAATAAATAATTAAATGTGTGTATAAATATAAAATACTATTTTTTATATATATATATATATATATATACAGGTGCATCTCAATAAATTGTTTATATTTTATTTGTTTTTGTCTTTTTGATAAAACATTAAGAAATCTTTATTTAATTCTTTTCTTTTTTCTTTTTCTCATTATGTGGATGCATTTTCCCATCCCAACTAACTTATGACAATGTACTTTATTTTGTTAAAATAATAATAATAAAATTAATTTCTTAAAATAATAATAAAATACTGCACAATTACAGATATGAATATTGTGATACTGTTCCAGTAACAAATGTCAAAAGGAAGGACAATTCTGGACACAATCAATGTCACAAATTTGTTTTTTAGTTTGAATAGTGAAATCTGAATATTTGTTTTGTTTCTGAATCATAAATTTACATCCAAATTTTAGATCCTAAACTTTTTATTTTCAGGTGTAAATGGGAAAAAAAAAATCTTAATGTGGTTTCAGACGTAATTATGGACCCCAGTGTATATAAAAATTTATTTATTTAGCTTTATGGCTCAACCCAGTTTATTAACACTTAAAAGATATTTGTTGGCTGATAGAATGCTCAAAATCCTACAAAATTGGCTTTTAAAATAATCTTTCTGACACAGACAATGAACCTGTTTGTTCAAAGGGATTTGCCTTGTGGCTTCACTCAATCTCACGATGTAATCTAGAATCTGTTCTATTTGCTTTGGGTGAAACAATCCTCTTGTGTATTAATGGACAACAGTGTTAGAGATCAGACGCTGGGGTGTGAAAAAGAGAGCCTGATGTCTCAGCCGAGTGACGTGTGTTTGCTAGTGTGTTCAGCATGTGAGCGAGCATGTCTCTTGTCTCCAGGATCTCGTTCGGTTGCTGTGGCCGCTTCACGTTGGCGGAGCTGCTGTCGTTTTCCCTCTCTGTCATGCTGGTTCTCATCTGGGTGCTGACGGGCCACTGGCTGCTCATGGACGGTGCGTCAGCATGCTGTTACTCTGTGTTTGTGTGTAGGAAGAGGATGTAAACACGTCCTCTGGTTTAACTCATACTGCCTTTTCTGTATGGAGTGTTGTGGTGGTATTTTTTTGTCAATCATATGGTTTTGTCTCCCGCAGCTCTTGCCATGGGTCTCTGTGTGGCCATGATCGCATTTGTGCGGCTGCCTAGTCTCAAGGTGTCGTGCCTGCTGCTGTCAGGCCTCCTCATCTATGATGTGTTCTGGGTAAGCAATTAATGCAGCAAGTCATACTGGTTCCTAGGGATGGGTGGTAAGTCCTTGTATCACGTCATGCGTGATTTAATGTCACAGTAACCATTTATACACTACCAGTTATTTAGACAATTTTGTATGCCTTAAAGGGGCATGAAACCCCCTGTTTCAGCACTGGTTAGTTCTCTCCACAGTTTTAAAAAAACGCTAAAAAAGTGGGCGTAGTGCGCTGCGAGCGGAGGGGGAAGAGGGGAGACAGACAACACGAACATGCTGTTGTCAATAATTAAGCGAAGCGGCTTCTCATTGGATAAGAACACGCAGTCTCATGAATAATTTAATAGACACCGACGCGTCATCGATGTACTATAGTCCATTGCCGCGTCAAAAAATGTGACGTCAACACCATGTATATTTTAAACCCGGAAGATGAAAATAGCGCAAAAAAGCTTAAAATTAACCTGTTTTCTCCAACAGTAAAAATTATCGGATGCTAACATTGTCTTCTATGATGTGCAACACAAACACCTCTGCTAAAGTCTCAGAAAAAGTAGTCTGGGGTTTGATGACCCTTTAAAAACCCGTTGATCTAAAGGCTTTTGCTTAAAGTTGTCACGACAGATCTGTCTATATTCTAAATGCATGTTATTGATCTTACCGTGCATTTCTGTTTTTTTCTTCTTCTTTTTTTGAGCTCAAGTTTTGAGCTCGTAATTTCTATGTAAATTTCATAACTCAATCTACCGGGAAAATGCCAGGCTTCTCTCTGATGACGTATATCATTTAGTTCGCATAAACCCTGCCTCTTCTTATAATTGAATGCAAGCTTATTTTTTTCTTATTCAATGACCTTTTTCACTCTGATGTATGTCACAATACAGAAGAAAAGATCCGTCACTACTTCAGTTTCATGGTGACTTTAAATGCTTGAAATTAGTTTTGTAAACATATAATTTGGGCTTACATATTCTCTTTTTTTCCTGGAATTTCAGTGAAAAAAAAAAAAATTTGTAATGGCTGATTTTTAAATTAAATTACTATTATTATTATTATTAAAATATTTTTTGTTTATTTCTGGGTGAGCCGGTAATATCTCACAGGTTACACAAGCTTTTTATTTTTTATTTTTATTTTATTTTTTAACTAATTGGATTCAAACCAAACAATATAATTATTCATAAACAAGCCTGGCATGGGTAACTTGAGTTAAATATGAAAGACTCAAAATTAGGGATGTAACGATTAACCGCGAGCCGGTTGAAAATCGATTTAAATATGTGACTATTCAAATCGGTTGAGATGCTAAACAAATCGCGGTTCAATTAGGGGAAGGCGTTTATATGAATATATGTCTGAGGGGAACTACTTGCATCTTTCGATGGTATTTTTTCTTTTTCTCTTGCCTCTGTATAATACATATTAAAGTTCATAAGTGCAGGCTGTGCAGAGCTGCTTTGTTTACAGCGGAAACCAAGGAAACGCTTTAAGCGCCACCTGCTGGCAGAGAGTGAATCTGCGTCTCATTCAGCTCGTCTGCTGTTTCATGCTGATATTTTTTATGCATAGTTTCACAAAACTGAAGCCAAACCATTCTGTTTTTGCTTCAAATTTCGAAATTATACAATCTAATTTAGATTAAAAACTGCACAGGACAATAGAAGCAATCAAAACCAACAAAAAGAACAAGAATTTACAAGTGCTATTTTAGTATATTATTATAGTGTTATATTTCAGTTTCACAAAGAAACGTACAGTATTTTGTCCAAGTAATAATAAAAGGACACATTTAATTTATAATTTGCCTTAAATCTCATTTTGTTAAAAAAAAATCGTGAATCGAAACGAATCGTGAAATCAAAATCGTGAATCAAATCGAATCGTGAAATCAAAATTGAGAATCGAATTGAATTGTGGGTTGAGTGAATCGTTACATCCCTACTCAAAATGCTAAAACTAATATTATGAAATGGATAGTCCTGACTCTAAATTTGTTGTGAAATATACACACATCTTCATAGGGCTGCACAATTTGGGGGTGAAAAATCTGATTATAAATTTTCATTTTCATTTTTTTCTCTTATACAAACCTTTAAAACCCTTCCAAATTTTGTAATTATATATTAAGATGGCTTTAAAATTATAATAATAATTAGTAGTAGTAGTATTAAAATATTAATTGTTATTATTTCATTGTTAAAGATTGTTAAATTTTTTTAAAAATGGCTAAATAAAAAAAAGAAAGTATTGCTCTTTGCAATATTTTACTGTAAAAAAAATGTTTTTTTTTTATTATTATAATTTTGCATTGCAAGTTTAACATTTCAATACTAATATGTATGGCGGTCTTAATTTCTTCATTTTCTTCAAGCCATATTGCGATTTATTTCGGTTTGATTTAGAATAATCGTGCAGCCCTAAATAATCATGGTCTAAATTGTTTTCAAAGGGGTGCTTTCTAGGAATTAAAAGCTTTGCTTAGTAATAAGTTCCTTCTCGACTTGTTTGGAAAACATCCTGCTTTTTATTTTCGCATTCTTTCATGTTTTTGTCACTCTCACAAATGCAAATAAATAAAGCAATCATGCCCAATTTAGATTAACGTGAATCTAATGTCACCATCATATACTGCTATACCGCTCCACCCAGCTGGTGCCATAAAACACCAGCGTAAATGCAGCTCATTAAATTGTTTCAGAAGTATTCAAGGAATCTTGTAAAGGTTGTTTCCTTATTCTCTTGTGAGCACTCGTTTAACAGATGCTTTATTATGTAGACAAATGCACCTGGAGCAATCTAGAGTTAAGTGCCATTTGAATGCAAACCTGTAACCCTTCAGTTGCCAGTCCAGATTTTAACCATATGATCAGATCAAATAATTTGTAGATGAAACGTGTTCCCCATCCCACCCCAGTGCTGACTGTGGAGACCTTTTCGTCAGCGTCTCAAATCACTCCAAACACGCTTACACAAGCCTGACATCACTCTCTCTCAGTGTCTTAAAACAGCAGGGCAAGCTGATCTGTCCCTCTGACTCATCTCCCTCCCTCTCCTGTAGGTCTTCTTCTCCGCCTACATCTTCAACAGCAACGTGATGGTGAAGGTGGCGACGCAGCCTGCCGACAACCCCCTCGACGTGCTCTCACGCAAGCTGCATCTGGGCCCCGGCGTGGGTCGGGACGTCCCCCGCCTCTCCCTGCCCGGAAAGCTGGTGTTCCCAAGCTCCACCGGCAGCCACTTCTCCATGCTGGGCATCGGCGATATCGTCATGCCGGGCCTGCTGCTGTGCTTCGTACTCCGATACGACAACTATAAGAAACAGGCCAACGGAGAAGTGCCCGGTTCTGTCAACATGTCCGGCCGCATGCAGCGGGTTTCCTACTTCCACTGCACCCTCATTGGTTACTTTGTTGGTGCGTATTGCAAACCGGATCATCCGAACACACTCTCGTTAAGATGGTGGATTGGATTGTGAAGAGTTACAGCAGAATTTAATTTTTATCTGTATCTATCATTCAGTCTTGTCTGTCGGTCTATCTATCTTTCTGTCATTCAGTTGGTCTGTTTGTCATTTCATCTGTCTACCTGTCTGTCATTTTCTCTGTCGTTCCGTCTATTGCAGTGTTTCCCAACTTTTTTTTTTTTTAGCCACGGCACAGTTTTGAAAAGTACAAAATCCCACGGCACACCACTAAGCACTGAAATATAAAAAAATTGCATAAACATGCATTGCTTTAAATGGCATATTAAAACTGGATATTACACTGAACAAAATTATAAACGCAACATTTTTGTTTTTGCCCCCATTTTTCATGAGCTGAACTCAAAGATCTAAACAGATTTGTGAACAATATTTGAGAGAAACAGGCCTTTTGTGTACATAGAAAAAGTCTTAGGGGGCAAAAACAAAAGTGTTGCGTTTATAATTTTGTTCAGTGTATATTTTAAGTAGTACTCACATTTAATGTGAAATTTGAGCTTAAGTCCGGTATGAACACAAGGCCATGGGTAGCGTTATGTTGTTGGTGATGACAAAACAACAAATTTACATAGGCCTATCGTCGCTGTCGGGCGGAAACATTGTATGTCCAAAACCACTACCACTTTCAGGAAATGTAAAAACAAAACAATTTTATTTTTTAAATAATTAAACCGCGTCGTCAGAGTTGATATTGTGGCTTTATATATGATCAGACACTTACGAGGTTTTTGACCAGCGAATGATGTTGTTTTGTCCATCATTAGAACGGCCGTGTCTGAGGCAGTGAGTGCATCGCATTACGTTTTCATGAACTTACAGGTTATAAAGTTTATTGTAGCTATATTGGCGCTCAGTTTTTTGTTGTTGAATACATTTGGCCAAAATATCATGACATGAAAGATGAAGTGCAATGCACAGGACATATAAACAATAACGATAATTAAACAATATTTTGCTGAGCATGTTATTGTGCTGTACTAAACTGGCAAGTTTAGGACTGCCGTGAACAGCTGACTCCCAGAGCTTTTAATATTCTTCATATTCTGTGCAGTGGTTAGTTTGCAGGAGTAACAGAAATTAACTTTTCCAGTAAGATTGAATTGATTTTTACCTTTTTGGGCATTTTTAACTTTATAAGGCCAATTTTTTTTTCTAACCTAATTAAAGGTGCAGTAGGAGATCTTGGAAAATGCTAACTTTAGCCTGATACCACTGAAAGCGAACGTCCCACCCTCCCTGCAATCGCCGTCCAAGGCCACGCCCCCTGAACCCATTTACGCTCCCAGACCAGAACACCAGAGACAACATTACAATAGGCTACATCAGCGGTTCCCAATTCCAATCCTTGCGCCCTCCTGCTCTGCACATTTCATATGTATCTCTTAGTGCCCTGGGAAGTGTACATCACTGGATATTCCGCCATGATTCCAGTTCGAAGCGAGTGTATATGTTCCTACTTTTAAGGCTTAATACTGTAAAATTTAAGACCTTTTAAGACCAAAAAAACTGCAAGAAAACAGACAATGCTTCAGCAAAGGTGTTTAACAAAGTTTAATAAACATTGAAAAATGTTTCACTGACTATATATATAATTAAAAATATTTAACATTTAAAATATTTAAATTACTTCAACTATGCAACAACTCAGGTTTTACAAACAATGTAAAATTTAACATTTCATCTCACTTAATGTAGTATACACTTTAATCCAGTGTGCCATAGCGTAGAGCTCGTCTCCGGCGACGTGACAAAGAAAGCTGATCCTGATTGGTCCTCGTGTGTACATTCGAAGTGCTGATTGGCTCACGCAGATAGAACCTTATAAAACTCAAGTTCGAGTTCGGTTTTGTAGATAGAACCTTTTTGTTTTCTAAATAAAAGTCCCAAAATGTACACAACTTAAGAAAGAAACATCACATAATGTAAATAAGTTGTCACAGAATATGAATATGTGAATAACTCCGTTTTGACAATGTCAGATAGAACCTTATAATTCCAAGGTGACGATATGTTGACAGGCAGGTAGGAAAGCCAATTAAAATGCTCGGACC